GGAAGGGTGGAGAAGCTTATAGCCCAAGTTGCTTGAAGTCCAGTGTTAAGTTTCCACAGTCTGTGATGATTTGGGGTGCAATGTCATCTGCTGTTGTTGGTCCATTGTGTTTTTTGAAAACCAACTTCACTGCACCCGTTTACCAAGAAATTTTGGAGCACTTCATGCTTCCTTCTGCTGACCAGCTTTTTGAAGATGCTGATTTCATTTTCCAGCAGGATTTGGCACCTGCCCACACTGCCAAAAGCACCAAAAGTTGGTTAAATGACCATGGTGTTGGTGTGCTTGACTGGCCAGCAAACTCACCTGACCTGAACCCCATCGAGAATCTATGGGGTATTGTCAAGAGGAAAATGAGAAACAAGAGACCAAAAAATGCAGATGAGCTGAAGGCCACTGTCAAAGAAACCTGGGCTTCCATACCACCTCAGCAGTGCCACAAACTGATCACCTCCATGCCACGCCGAATTGAGGCAGTAATTAAAGCAAAAGGAGCCCCTACCAAGTATTGAGTACATGTACAGTAAATGAACATACTTTCCAGAAGACCAACAATTCACTAAAAATGTTTTTTTATTGGTCTTATGAAGGATTCTAATTTGTTGAGATAGTGAATTGGTGGGTTTTTGTTAAATGTGAGCCAAAATGATCAGAATTAAAAGAACCAAAGACTTAAACTACTTCAGTCTGTGTGCACTGAATTTATTTAATACATGAGTTTCACAATTTGAGTTGAATTACTGAAATAAATGAACTTTTCCATGACATTCTAATTTATTGAGATGCACCTGTATATCCTGCTATTCTGAATTTTTCTTGCTATTGCAACTTTATATTTTTAAATTCTGATTTTTTTCTCATAATTGTGAGCTTATATCCTGCAATTCTGACTTTTTTCTTCCAACTGACTTTTTTTCTTACAATTGCGAGTTTATATCTTGCAATATTGACTTCTCAGAATTGTGAGATATCAACTTGCAATTGCGGGTCATAAAGTCCAATTATATATGTTTATTACATAAGAATGTTGGTAACCAAACAGTTGACGTTAGCCATTCATATGGTAGCCATTAATATTGGGGGGAAAAAAACACTATGGAAGTCAACGGCTACTGTTTGGTTACCAACATTCTTCAAAATATCTTCTTTTGTGTTGAACATCTGACAAAACTCATTCTGGTTTGGAATCACTTGAGAGTGAGTAAATGATGAGAGTTTTCATTTTTGGGTGAACTATCCCTTTAAGAAGCAACAGATAGAGACTTAACTACTCAATCCTCTTCACATCATCATTCATAATTAAAAGAGTCTCTTCAGCTGACAGCTGCATTCACAAGAAGCGGCATGTCGCCCTTCTGTCAAACTAATTTCAAAGATTACACCTGAACGAGACTCCTTTTACAAGCACTTTTATATTTCAATGACTCACTGACAGCAGGCGTGTAACACTTTCCACAGCAACATGCGATGCTGCCTGATTCACAATGGATGATAACATGCAGCTTCAGGAGGTTCAACACTCACCTTGTAAAACAGACAGGAGCCCAAAATGACATACAAACGCCTCATGCCGCAGACATCCTCAGACTAACCAAACAGAAAACAGAGAAAGTGTTATTTCATACTAGTGCAACTTTAGTTTCATAGTATCATAGTTTTTGATAATATTTTGATTTAGGTTTTATTTTTTGTTTTCATCTTCATTTTAAAGTTTTAGTAATTTTGTCGTTTTTATCATTTTTATAACTTTTTTTTAAATGTCTATAAAGTTTTATTAAGTTTTAGTTATTTTAAGTTATTTTAGTTCAACTTCAACTAAACAAAAATGAGAAATGTTGCCTTGGAAACTGAACCATCAGCCATCATCAGACTAATACAGTAAGACTGTAAATGTTCTTGTATATGTGTGCAGGAAGCTGATTTTTGAATTTTGAATTTTTCTGCACACATACACATGAACATTTACTGTCCATCAAACTGTATTTTTTTTATGTTATTATTTTTTTTATTTGCATTTATATAAATTATATATATATATATAATAGAGAGAGAGAGAGAGAGAGAGAGAGATTTGTGAAAGTATGCTACATAAAACACCTGCACAAAACAAAAACAGCAGATGGACTGAATGAAAGTGCAAATTTATTCTCTGACAGCAGGTGGCGCTTATGGAACAGCAGCGATATAGAGTTTCCTTGGTTACCGCTGTAAACAGAGTAAATAGAGATCGGCCAAAATAAAACTAAAAACTGGTTCAGATCTATAGCTGATCGACCGGTGCATCTCTAGAACCCGAAACTTTGCTCATAACTCATAACTATTTTTTATGTTTTCATCTAATATTTATATATGATTTAGTTTCATCTTTATTTCAAGTACCAAAAACAATTTTTAATGGTTTCAGTTTAACTTTACAGTTTTACTGACATCAAATCGTCAAATCATATACTGATTTTATTCCTTAAGATTTTCCCAAAGTTATGATGATTAAAAAAACGGGTTATCTGAGCTCAATAACTCATCTTACCATGTCACCAAAATCTGACGACTCAAAGTCTGAGAGCACAGTGTCCACTTCAACCTGGAGAAACAGTCAAAACATGATGAACACCTGAGAGCATGTCATTTGTTAATATTACACCCATACTGTCCCATCTGCATGAGGATGCTCACGAAAAAAACAGTAGCATATGGATTGGAACAACATGAAGGTGAGTAAACGATGACAGAACTAGGTGAAATATTCCTTTACAGTAATGTGTGAATCATTACAGGAGACATTTAAAGGGGTCATATGACGTTGCTAAAAATAACATTATTTTGTGTATTTGGTGTAAAGAAATGTGTTTATGCGGTTTAAGGTTAAAAAAACACATTATTTTCCACATACTGTACATTATTGTTTCTCCTCTATGCCCCGCCTTTCTGAAACACTTTCACAACGAAACACACAGCATCTCAGGCGCAGTGTGTTAAACCGCATAACACACAGCGGCGGCAACAATACTACAGCGAGAATAAAAGTTACGCCTACTTTCTTTGTGTGAACATTTGGGCAGTGTTATGCAAGTCTTCCCACACAGTGACATAGATATGTGGGGGCGTGTTTAAACGAGGCATTTTAGGAGGGCGTGAACAAGTTTTATAAAGAAAAAAACTTTTATAAAGAATATCTCTTTGGGTTTGAGACTAGTGGTCGACCGATATATCGCCAAGGCCGATATATCGGCCGATATTTGGCATTTTTCAAATATCGGCATTGGCCGATAAGTTTTTCTGTTTGGCCGATGCGTTCGTGGCGGGACTTTTATTTTGATGGCGCTCGAACTGCTGCGGCAGTGCCTGAACACACAGTGCTCACATTCCCCCTCTTCTTCGCTGTCGTCGTTAACATTTCTGTCCCCGAACAGAAGTCTGTCTAATAATCAGATAGAACTGTTAAACAAAGGAATTAAAATGTTTACAAAAAAGTATTATAACGATTGCTTTTATATTGTTAGTAATAGGAAGGCAAACATTATAATAATTTCTCGTTTACCGTCAGCATTCAGCAAATACGCATTTACATCATTTAAAGAAATCTTTGAATGACTAATGAACATCTAATTTCAAAAACCTTGCAAACTTAGTCGAATCCAGCTGTGAGATCTTATGAAGTGTGCATATCCTGCACGATCGCGTGTTCTCTGCGTGACGGTCGGTCCGTGTGAACTGAATGCGGACAGGAGGAGAGTTCAGCTTCACTGAGATGCGTGATCGACAAACTTTAAACTCGTGATTTTAAACTATGCTGCGCTTCATGCTTTTGCCCACTGTCATATTCATGTCCTTTTCACTGTGTGCTGTATGTAAAATGAGGGTTACCTTGGCTTTATTTGAAAAAACGTGATTCCCAATGCACACAAACTTCCCAGATTATTGAATGCCCTGTTGGTTACAGTGTTTACTTCCTTTTTAATATATTTTTATTAAATATTTGTTTATTTGTGAAAAATACTTTGTCATTTAAAGTATAAGCATGCTTATTTTACACATTTATTTTTTAAATACATTTTCAAATTATTTCAAATTTCTTAAATATTAAATAAAATACATAAAATGATATCGGCTTTATATCGGCCACCCTGCTTTCCAAGATATCGGCATCATTTCAAAAACCTTGCAAACTTAGTCGAATCCAGCTGTGAGATCTTATGAAGTGTGCATATCCTGCACGATCGCGTGTTCTCTGCGTGACGGTCGGTCCGTGTGAACTGAATGTGGACAGGAGGAGAGTTCAGCTTCACTGAGATGCGCGATCGACAAACTTTAAACTCGTGATTTTAAACTATGCTGCGCTTCATCCTTTTGCCCACTGCCATATTCATGTCCTTTTCACTGTGTGCTGTATGTAAAATGAGGGTTACCTTGGCTTTATTTGAAAAAACGTGATTCCCAATGCACACAAACGTCCCAGATTATTGAATGCCCTGTTGGTTACAGTGTTTACTTCCTTTTTAATATATTTTTATTAAATATTTGTTTATTTGTGAAAAATACTTTGTCATTTAAAGTATAAGCATGCTTATTTTACACATTTATTTTTTAAATACATTTTCAAATTATTTCAAATTTCTTAAATATTAAATAAAATACATAAAATGATATCGGCTTTATATCGGCCACCCTGCTTTCCAAGATATCGGCATCAGCTGTCAAAAAACCAATATCGGTCGACCACTATTTGAGACTTTAGTATTTGCAACTTTAGGGATCTTATCTATGCACGAACAGCTTGTAACACTCCAAAGAGAAAGGAAAACTTGAAATCGCATCATATGACCCCTTTAATATCATTCACTAGTCAGACCTTTATGTCTGCTGGTAAAGTGAGCCACCGGACAGCCGGCAGCCCGTCTAAGAACAGGCTCCCTGAGATGTCAGGGCTGGGCGGTCTGGAGCTGTCAATCAAACGCCAGGGCTGGATGAGCTGCTGGAAGAAGAGGCAGAAGAAGTGATCCAGACGGGGAGCGTTCTCCTCCTCACAGAAGCAGCTGAAGAGACACAGAGGTTATGCAGTCATCGTCTGCTGTATCTACACACACATAACGCTCTCCAGAGATATACAGACATGCATACCTGTCAAGAGAGCCATACATGACCTTGAGTGTTCGGACAGCTCCCTCAATCACAGTCTGCAGATACAACAGAGGAACCCTGCGGGACAGATGCACACTAAACTGAGGAACGAACACTTGAACAATGTTGAAAATTTACCCCAAAATAAAACTATTATTACAAACTGATAGAAAATCAGCAACAAAAATTAGGAGTTAAACAAAAACAATGCCAAAGCTAGAAATAAAATAAGAGATGGAAAGGTGAGAACTACACTTAAACTAAACAAACTTTAAATAATAATAATTAGTATTATTATTATTGTTATTATTATTTATCCCGCATTTAAAGGAACACTCCACTATTTTTGAAAATAGGCTCATTTTCCAACTCCCCTAGAGTTAAACAGTTGAGTTTTACTGTTTTTGAATCCATTCAGCCGATCTCCGGGTCTGGCAGTAGCACTTTTAGCCGTAGCTTAGCATAGATCATTGAATCTGATTAGACCGTTAGCATCTCGCTCAAAAATGACCAAAGCGTTTCTATATTTTTCTTATTTAAAACTTGACTCTTCTGTAGTTACATCGTGTACTAAGACCGACGGAAAATGAAAAGTTGTGATTTTCTAGGCCGATATGGCTAGGAACTATACTCTCATTCCGGCGTAATAATCAAGGAACTTTGCTGCCGTAACAAGGGTGCAGCAGGCGCAATGATATTATGCAGCGCCTGAAAATAGTCCCCAGCACGCTCCCTGTACAAGCAGGTGGTCACGTTGGTTATGTTGGCGGAAGTTAGCCTATTTTCAGGCGTTGCGTAAAATCATTGCGCTTGCTGTGAGAACAATAAAACAATTTTAATAAATTAAAATTTAGTAAATGTAATAATAATTGTTGTTTTCGTTAGAATTGTTGTCGTTTAGCTGTAATTTAAAATGAACATAACATTTAAAAATAGAATATCTTTTAAAAATCTAAACCAAAACTAAAGTGTGAACATCCACTCTCAATAGAGATTAATGCAAAATAAATGTGAACTAAAAACTAGATCTCATGCTTTTGGAGAATAAAAGAAAAATAGAAAAGAAAAGGATAAAAGAAAAGAAAACAATAAAATAAAATAAATTGACAGTTTTCTAAAAAGTATTTCTGATTGCTTGAGAGACTTTAAAATACATGACAAGCAGTGGATTGGGACACATCGTGAGAGAAGTCACTCTTCTGTCATTCTTCATTGTGGAGCAATAAACACCTAAGGTAATGAACAAGCTGAACATCTCGGATTATGGATCCGATTGATTATTATTGAGAAGTAGGATGACGTCAAAGAACATGTGTCATTACTAAAATCAATCCCAATCACAATCACTGGAGTTATTATCTAGATTACACATACTGGCTTGCAGACAGGATGATTATAGAGATTTTCGGTCAGTTTTAGGAGCCAAGCTGATTATAATGACAGTTATTATAGTTATTATCTAGATTAGAGTGGGCTGTTGGCAGGCGGGATGATTATAAAGATGAGAATTACCTGCTGGCAGGTACAGCGATCACCAGCAGACTGGATCCTTCCTTCCAGTAGCCCACATGAACCAACTGCTGCTGGAGCCACAGAGACGAACTACCGGGACAAACCGACACGACATGCAGCATTAAAACGGCTTTAAACCTGACCACTCACAACTTCACCACTTTTTTTAACGTTGAAAATAATCAGAAATGTTTCTTGAGCAGCAAAGCAGCATATCAGAATGATTTCTGAAGGATCATGTGACACTGAAGACTGGAATGATGCTGAAAATTCAGCTTTGATCACAGGAATAAATTAGATTTTAACAGATATTTACATAGAAAACAGCTATTTTAAATTGTAATAATATTTCACTGTTTTTACAGCATTTCCCATCAAATAAAAGCAGCCTTTGGTGAGCGTAAGATAAAAATATTGATAAAACCCCTCACCTGACTATCTGTCCTCCTGTGACGTTCTCCAGCAAGTCACAGAGCGTCAGGAAAATGCCTCTCACCGCTTTCAGCTGGACCGCAGCTTCAGACGCCGGATACTGGTACAAAATCTCCTGCTGCAAAGAGCAAAGATAGCTCAGTTTAATAGACAATACTGACCCCAGGTCATTTTACAGCATGTATGCATAATCATGATATAACATAAATGCTTTATGAATTTTATTTGAGACCATTTTGCTTGAATGGAGGACAAAGGTGCCTCCCTTGTCAATTACGTCACAAGATAATAATAATAAATATCTTAGAGAATAAATATCTTAATAATAAATATTAGAGAATGAATTCCCCCCCCCCCCAAAAAAAAAAAAAAAGCCAAAATGCGGGAAT